GCGTTAAGAGCTCGCTCAAGTACTGCGGAGCTAAACCATTTAGTGCTTTGTAGGTAATCAACAATATTTTAAAATTTATACGATGTTTAATAGGGAGCCAATGCAGTGTTGACAGAACCGGGCTAATATGGTCATATTTCCTGGTTCTGGTAAGAACTCGAGCTGCGGCGTTTTGAACTAGCTGTAGTTTGTTTATTAAGCGTGCAGGGCAACCACCCAGTAGAGCATTACAATAATCTAGCCTTGAGGTCATGAACGCATGGACTAATTGTTCCGCATTTCCCAATAAGAGCATATGGCGTAATTTAGATATATTTTTAAGATGGAAAAATGCAGTTTTACAGATACTAGACACGTGGCTTTCAAAAGAAAGGTTGGTATCAAATAGCACACCCAGGTTCCTAACCGACGACGAAGACTTGACAGAGCAGCCATTAAGTGTTAGACAATATTCTGGGTTATTACGTGTGGAAGTTTTTTGTCCAATAATTAGAATCTCTGTCTTTTCAGAATTTAGTAGTAGGAAATTACTAGTCATCCAATTTTTTATATCAGCTATGCATTCCGTTAATTTTGTGAATTGGTAAGTTTCGTTGGGTTTTGAAGAAATATACAGCTGAGTATCATCGGCATAACAGTGAAAGCTAACCCCATGTTTCCTAATGATATCTCCTAATGGTAGCATGTACAGAGTGAACAGCAGCGGTCCTAGTACTGAGCCTTGTGGTACGCCATACTGAACTTGTGATCGATAAGACATCTCTTCATTTACTGCTACAAACTGACAAACTGACTAGCGGTCCTAGTACTGAGCCTTGTGGTACGCCATACTGAACTTGTGACCGATAAGACATCTCTTCATTTACTGCTACAAACTGAAAACGGTCAGATAAGTATGATTTAAACCATGCTAATGCAATTCCACTAATGCCAACATAATTTTCGAGTCTATTTAAAAGAATGTTGTCGTCAATAGTATCAAATGCAGCACTAAGATCGAGTAACACTAATAGAGAGATACAACCACGATCGGATGATAAGAGCAAATCATTTGTGACTCTGATGAGAGCTGTCTCGGTACTATGGTACGGTCTAAATCCGGACTGAAAATCCTCGCAGATATCATTTCTTTCTAAAAAGGAACACAGTTGTGAGGATACTGCTTTTTCTAGTATCTTTGACAGAAAAGGTAGATTCGAGATCGGGCTGTAATTGACTAATTCTCTTGGATCAAGTTGGGTTTTTTTAACAAGCGGTTTAATCATAGCCAGCTTAAAAGTTTATGGTACATATCCTAATGACAAAGATGAATTAATTATATTGAGAAGAGGATCTTTGACCTCTGGAAGCATTTCTTTCAGTAGCTTAGTCGGTATAAGGTCTAACAAACATGTTGTTGATTTAGATGATTTAACGAGTTTAGACAATTCTTCCTCTCCTATTGCAACGAATGAATGGAATTGTTCCTCAGGGAGACTACAATGCACTCCCTGATGCGATACTGTAGTAGATAGTTGCATAGTTATAATTTTCTCTCTATATTCTATCTCTCTAATAAAAATATTGTAAGTAAAGAAGTTCATAAAGAATCTTCAGAAGTTGAAGCTTTATTTCTTGTTAATTTAGCCACTGTATCAAATAAACACCTAGGGTTGTGTTTGTTTTCATCTAATAGAGTCGAAAAGTAAGCAGATCTAGTAGTTTTTAAAGGGACAATGTGTAGGAATTTCTCCCATCTAGCGGTGAAAATGTATTTTGCATTCAAACGAATTGTGCTCTCCAGCGCCTCGCATTTTCAAATGCGCGTTGCATCTACGGTAGCCATTATGTACCAAAAAGCTATGACAGGATGTCTTCTAATAGCACTTCGTCGAGTTTTCCTTCGGGTGAACAGGTTTGTTATTTCAAACAAACAGCAACTTGACACAACGAACAAACGAATGTTACAGTATGAATTACTGACTGTGAAAAACATGAACTATTGTAATAAGTATGCCTTCATTATTCGTTATATTTTCTGAAGTATGTGCATTGTTAGATATCATCATCAACTTTTAACTATAAATGTTCATCTGTCTATAAAATAAAGTACACAACCAAACAATGAAAAAAAGCTTGTAATTAAGACTGTAACGTTGACTTACCTGTCGAGAAGAAAGCAGGCAACTTCAGCGTCTCTTTTGAAATCTTTCTCCTGCATTAGCTCTATCCACCTGGAAAAAGCTATCCTGACATTAACTCGTGTTTTTTGTAATCTTCGGTCACGTTTCCTTTTACGATCTATTTTGGACTTTTCTGGCGACGAGGATTTGCAATGCAGCCTTTTAAACTTGCCGGGGCAGTGACAAGCGCCTCTCACTGCTCTGCTCCTCCGCTTCTGCTGCTTTCAGTTACATGACACTGGCTCTGAAAGAAAACGTGCTGTGGAAACGCGTTGGCCTAGTACTTTTTGTCCCTCTCTGCTATTATAGTTTTTCAAGATGGCGGAACTACATGGAAGCCTCCGTGGACCTACCCGTCCCATGTATATAAAGATAATAAATTCTTTGTTTACGAGGATAATGTATTTTGTATTTTCTATGTCTATGTATTTTATGCATTTGTACTTACTTATCTAATGTATTTTTTATCTATTTGTCTTTTTTATGTATCATGCACCTTATGCAGAGGCTCCGCAATTTCGTTGTACCTTGTGTACAATGACAATAAAGTATAAAGTATAAGTCAGATAATTGGCAGAGGTATTTGTACAATATTGAGGACATATTTCTGAATAAACATATTGATTTTAAATAATAAAATACATAAAAAGGTACACATTGTCCCTTTAAGGCCTCTCTGTATGCAATCGTGCTTTCTTTCTATGAAATGCGAAATACCTCTATAGTTTGTTTTTCTCCGAGTTGCGCTCCATTTCTCTGGCTGCTCTCTTAGGGGCCTGAGTGTGCTCGTTGTACCACGGCGTTGGACTATTTTCTTTAATCTTCTTTAATTTAAGCGCAAAGGAGCAACTGTGTCTAAAGTGCTGGAAAAGAAAGAGTCAAAAGTTTCTGTCACAATATCGAGTTCTTCTAAGCTATCTGGGATGCTGAGGAGATGAAACTGATCAGGAAGATTATTAATAAAGCAATCTAGTGGCAGAAGGGATAGCATATTTATCTGTGTTAACACATAATCCGTGTAATAACATATTTGTAACACGGAGTCGGCTTTGCAGCCTTAACTAAATGAAGTATACACGAGACTAGATAATGGTCTGAGATGTTATCTAAGACTATCTGCAGCCAGTACTAACTCTGATTGAAAGTAAGCAAATTCTTTGATAAAGTCTGTATATGTATACAGTAGCCAGCACAAATCTCAAACGTGATTTATCATTTACACTAGATAGTGTTACATTAAGCACCAACATTTCAAAAGAATTATATTTGAAACTAGATTTCTCAGTAAATCTGAAGAGATTACTATAAATTACAGCAACACCTCCCCCTTTGCCTTTCAGACGAGGCTCATGTTTATAACTGTAATCTTGGGGGAAGGACTCATTTAAAGTAATGTAATCGTTTGGTTTTAGTCAGGTTTCTGTCAAACAAAACGTCAAGGTTATAGTCTGTAATCAATCTTAACAATAAGTGCTTTTGAAGGATTGAATATTCAGCAACCCGACCTTTATCATTTGCTCATCTGTATTATATCTATTTTTTATTTGTTAAACATCTATTACATTTTTACCCTTAAATGGGTTTGGGTGTTTTTTGTTTTTCCTAATTCGGGATTTTTTTTTTGAAAGTTGAGGTAATTATGAGTAGTAATGTAATTACCATAATTACGAGATTTAAAATTGTCAAAAGTGTTCATGTCCTCGTAATTCCAGCTTGTAAGCGGAGACTTTTCTGACAGCTCCTACTTGCACCACCTGACCGCTGCAGATTCATCTAGGCGTTGATAGTGGTGCCATAGAAATGCCCAGTCACAGAACAGCTCACAACAGAGTGTCACGTCATCGAGACTGCTTAGTTTTACTTGTTCATTTCACAGATGATTGCAATTACCGTAATGAAAGAGAACACCCTGAAAATACATTCAATCAACACTTTATTCAATCATTTGAAATATAAAGGCTGCAGCAAAACAAAAAGCATGCAAGTGACAATTCTTAAAAGGTTAAATCAACGTATGTGTAAGGCTAGTGTTTGTTAGATAATACAGACAAAAGCAGTACAAATACAACTTCAGCATCTTAGCTCTGGCAACCTTGACAACCTGATCTGTAAAAAAACCTTTAAAAAAAAAATACAGTACTGAATCTTGAGGTTTAATAGCTTGCACACTGTGATAACTGATCATATCAGCAGCCAGTGTTTTCAGGGTCCACTGGACACACTCCTCTATGGAGGAGACGAGCTGCACCCGAGTGAAAGGAACGCGTCAGACACAAAACTGCAGCGCTTTGAGACTAGGATGGTACATCATATCCCATAAACACCCATAACCTCACATACAAAAAACATTCACTGATCCTACATTGGAGGAAAAAAAAGTCACTTCTCATAAAAAAATAATGTGACAAAAATAAAGACTTGGAATTGTTCAGTTGACAGGTTAGTCGAGCTGAAGAGACGTTTAGGCCCTGTGATCGTGTAGTGAATTACTTTCAAACAGCTGCTTTAAATACAAATGAAAAACTTCAACATTATTCAAACTACCATGCAAATGCGTCTACGGTCTGTAATAACTTTACTAAAACTATTAGCCATTATAAAAAACTGTCTATAAAAAGACCTAAAATGCCATCTTATAAAATATAAACATGATAAAAAAGAAAAAAGGGTTAGTCACAGAATCTGATGTGGACGAGTTCAGAAAAGCTTCCTCAAACAACTCACACATGAAAAGAAAAGCATTTGGTTCATTCAATTTAAGCTGAAACATCACAAAAACAAACTGAAGTGAGAGATTTTACAAGTGAAAAAAATAAAATAATTAAATCTCACTCAGAAACTCGATCACACAGGAAGCTTTATGGTGCTTAAACTGGCAGCTCTGATTGGCTGAAGAGTTGATCACATGACCAAACAGCCTCTCTTGGCAGCACGTGGATCTCCCTGTGAAAACATAGTGGAACACTGAGCAGAACCTCACACACACACACGCACGCACTCGATGACGAGGAGGTAATGGATGAAGCTGATGTGTGCTTGATATCAGACCTGCTGGTGAAAGAAGCGCTCCTCGATGACGTCAGCGTCCTTCTCCTCCTCCTCTTCCTCCTCCACTGCGCTGTTGAACACTGTGCTCCTCACAGCCACTTCCTGTAGGGACAGGGACACTTCAGAACACACCGCGTCCTGTACTGCCAGCGATGAACAATGCCTGCTGTAGTAAGAGCTAGGCTGTAGTCATTCTAAACCTCACCTCTCCGTCTGGGCTCAGCAGAAGCACTTTAATGTCCTCGCCGCTCCCCCATGAACTCTGGCTCTTCCAGATCAGGTCAGCAGGAGGACTGGAGCTCACGCCCGCATCACACGCCCAGATCTGACCAGACCAAAACAAGACCCAACAGAGAGTGTGTGAAGGCACATGCTGATATCCCCCACTCAGGTGACAGGGCTTTACTCATGATTACATCTATAAAGATGATGCGTACCGTCACTTTCTGTCCAGCCTTCAGGGTGTATTTAGCAGTGAATTTATACACTGCAGAAACATCACCGACAGTTCGAATCAGCTGAAATCCTGCCATGGGTTGATCCTGAAATATTAAAATCAAAAATTACATTCAATTTACTTGCCACCAACTTAAAAAATTTAGAGGCATCAAAGTTAATTTGGAGTCCTGAATGAGTTTGTGTGAGTCGAACGCACCTGCTCAGAGTTGTTGTGCAAGCGCATGAACTTCCCGTCCACGTCCAGCTCATCGATGCAGATGTTTCCAGTGGCAGATGCCGAGTGAGCGATGCGAACGCTGCTGCTAGCCTCGGACTCCTCCATGTCCACACGCTTCCGCTTCCCGCGTGTGGTGCGAACACTGCGGCTGGAGGACGCCCGCGACACCGTCACGCGAGACGAGGGGCTGGGAGACAGCTTCAACCTGACACCGGAGACATGCTGTTAGCATGAACCCACCATCCGCCATTAGGCTCAAGCTAATCAACATCCATGCAGACGAACAAGAGCTTCTGCCAAGATAAGAGCGAGGATGGCCAATGCAGCGGTGACAGAAACAGCGGTTCAGAAGAGTCTCTGACGGTGGGAATCACACCATACAGAAATTCTGCCATAATCTATGTATTGCTAATCAATCCTACAATGATACATGACCATATCGGTAGATGAAAACAAAATGCCCGTAAAAAGGGTGAAGTTAAAATCCAAACTGTTAGAAAACAGCACAACAAGTTTGTCTGCAAATTAAATTTAACATTTCAAGTATATTAAACATGTTATGATTATTCTTTTAAAAAGCTTAAACTTGTCTTTGTGTGTAAACTGACATATTTAACTGCTTATTGGCTTCATTTTAATTAATAGTTAAAAATTTACCAACCTCTTTTATTTAAACATGGGAACATCTGTGTTTACCAGCTTCCTTAAAATAACCCTGGGAATACTGTTGTCAAAGGTAATGACTTGAACATTAAGAAATGTGACGACACCAGCATTTCCCCTAGCATTCTGATTGGCCATTGTAGCCAATCACAGACATGCGTGTTGAGCGTGTGAACACAATGACCAGCGCTTCCAGTACATGTTGTAAATAAGGCTGACGCTCTTCGCCGAGTGCGTGCACAGATACACACGGGAGCGTTAGAAAGCAGGATCTTCAGGATATTAGGGTATCTGCAGAGACGCCTGCTTTCTAACGCTCCCGTGTGTATCTGTGCAAGCACTCGGCGAAGAGCGCCAAAGCGGATCATTTACAGCATGTTTGTCTCATCAATGGTATAAAAGCCGAAGTGCTATCTATTTTACTCGCATGTTAAAAACCTTTTACTTAGGCTAGTTAACTTCGGTTTTATTCACAGCAAAAGCACAGCTACGACCACTTCACTGACCAGATCTGTGTTCATCACTGCAACACAACAGACTGTCAACACGGCTCGCATGCAGGAGATCCGGCGATGCATCCGAGGTGTAGAGGGAGCTTATTGAAGTTTCCTGGTTCATGTATGGTACTGTATGTTCATTTAGTCACACGGTTTAAATGAAGCTTCTTGAATCTTAAGGCCAATTCACAGCAAACCGACAGACGCAGACAATCACCAGAGAACAGAACATCACTTTTCAGACCTTTCTCGACCCGAAAAGGGCCGATTCAGCAGGTTAGACCAGCGAACACTGCTCCGACAGACACACTGATGCGACACACCCCACGGAGGGTCTGTTGCCTTCTGTCGATTGCAGTGTGACTGTAGGCCAGGGTACCCCCAGGATCCTCCAACTTAAATTCAAGGCTTTTTAAGACCTTTTTATTACCATTTCAAATGAAATTCAATGCCAACTTCGTACCCATTCCGACAGAAGTATGAGGGGAAAATCTCAAATCTGTATACATTTTAAACCCTAGAAACGAATTATGTACAAGGCTACTTGAATTAAATAAAACATTTTACTTAAATTATCAGTCATATTTAATACATACGCAACAGCATTGTAGCGCGCACGTGTATGTAGGCCAGTGTTAATTTTGGCAGCCATTTTTGATTTACGAAAATGCTTATTGGTCTTAATCACATTTGAGTCATCCTGTTTTTTATAGTTGTAGTTGACGAAAAGTCTTTGCATTTTTTGTCAACTTTTAGTCAAACTGCAGTTACTTTACAGGTAGTTATTTTATATGTAGTCTTTAGACAGAAAATGTCATAATTATTCTCTCTAGGCCAATTCAATGGGCTTTATGCAAAGCTTCACTACTTCCTGAACTTCAGCCAGCCCTTTGTTTCCTGTCTGTTATTATTGGACAAACTGATTAGTCCAGGTGTGCCTGATTATTGTTACTGAGGCCAGGCACACCTGAATTAATCAGTTTGTCCAATAATGACAGACAGGAAACAAAGGGCTGGCTGAAGTTCAGGAAGTAGTGAAGCTGTGCATAAAGCCAATTAAGCTTATGAGAAATTATTGACATTGCACTCTTTAGCAGTAGCACTTGTGCAGTTCTACATAATTTGGTTCTCCAATGTTTTAGAGTGCCGTACCCCCTGGTGCAGTCACACCTTTTCTATTAAGGGACAAGATTTGCCCCCTTTAATACATTTTTCCATTTCATTTTTTTCCTTTGTAATACCTTAAAAAAAATATAAAAAAATAATAATGCTTTAAATAAAACAATTTTCATTAAATTTGCAATGTTAAAAAACATTAAAATCGCCAGTAGGTGGCAGTACCTCACTATCTTTATGAGTGAGTCTTTGAGTCATTCATTCATTGAATCTCACGATTCGTTCAAAGCCACATATTTCGTTGCAAAACAGAGCAAGCCTGACAATGCTGTTTTCAATGTAGTACATCACTTAATGTTACCCTTTTTTCTTTTCTTATTTACTGTTGTATAAAATCAATGTCACGTTTGAAATCGTGTGGATATTCGGGAAACATTGCATTCTTGCTCGTATGAACACTGCTGGATATCAGCCTGCATTTTGATCGCAGATTTAGTCGCACAAACAGCGCAAGCGGCTCGTGACAGAACACAGACCGACTGAATGACACTTGAATTTAAGTAGAAAATCTTAAATAAAGATCGCTGAACTCCAGCTTGTCTGTGTTTTCAGATCATCCGCGCTTCTTCAGCAGTGTAGAGAGAACGCGCGCGCATGGTTGCCAGATACTATTGAAAAGACCGGGTAGAAAATATGTTCTTTTAACAGAAAAGCTCTTATTTGGGGTTTAAATTCTGTCATTTGTGGCCACAGCGGATTCAACTAGGCTATCTTGTTCTGTACCTCACTTGCCTAGTAACCATAGTAACGGTGCGCAAGCTATCGCTTTTTCTGCTATGACGTGGAGCGCGAGGGTGCACTCAACGCTGCATACATTTTGAATTAGCCTACTTTAGTAACAGTTAATTTTGTTACGGTATGAACTTAATCCTAGCAAAGGCAAAAAATATATAAGACCTTTGTAACGAAATCCAAGACTTTGTATACTAAATTCAAGGCTTTTAAGGCCTTAATTTGAGATGATCAAATTCAAGACTTTTTCAAGGCTTTTAAGACCCGCGGGTACCCTGGTAGGCGGATTTGCACTGTTCAGCAAACCGGTCTGGTTAAAACTAAAACATTTTCTCATGCTTTCAGATTTGCAGATGTATGCATGTGAGGAAATATCATATATTGTTTAAAAAGACTCAGCACATTACACCAGGGATGGAAATTAGCCAAATGCAGGTGATTGTGTTGTGGCTGGTAAACTCGCTTCACCTAGCGGCCACCGTGGCGGGTAAATAAAAGTAGCATGCTGTTTCACCCGGACACTTTTAGAGGAGGCACACCTTGAGACTTTACCCTATGAAATAAACGGCTTAAGTATTGTAGATCTTGTAGTATTCATTTTCACATGCAGTTACACATTGTCGGTTAAAAACAAGAAAGTGGCTGGTAAAAACGTTGAGTGGCTGGTCGATTTTGGAATCCACCAGCCACAGTGGCAGGTGGACAAAAAAGTTAAATTTCCATCCCTGCGTTACACCCAGGAGCGTTCTCGTGCTGTTAACGGCCACATGATCTGGGGGCTCATGCTGACTGACTGCTCTTGATGACTCTGAGGGGTTTTAACATTCATTACTGTTGCCCATGCATCTGCATGAGCAGTGCTGGCGTATTCACCTCTCCTCCTCTCCCTCCAGCATCTTCCTGTAAGCGTTGATCTCCATGTCCAGCGCCAGCTTGACGTCCAGGAGCTGCTCGTAGTCGTCCAGCTGCTGCTGCATCTTGGCCCTGATCTCAGCGATCTCGCGCTCCTTCTCGGCCAGTAACCGGCGGCTCACGTCTTTCTCTCGGCTCAGAGCCGCTTCCAGCTCACTGATGTGATCCTGCCACGCACGCGCCTGTTAAAGACACACAGCAAGGTAATCAAAACTAACAAACATCAAATAGGAACTTGATTAGGATTACTTGAAGGAAGAGTTCACCCAAAATGAAAAATCCATTATCATTTACTCAACCTTCTGACTGGCAGTTCTGTTTGGTTTCCACAGAAAAAAGTCAGTGAAAACCAAATGCTGGTAACCAAACAGTTTCGGTTCACATTGACTTCTGTTGTATTTTTTGACCCTACAACGGAAGTCAATGGGAATCAAAACTGGTAACCAACATTCTTTCCTATACACGTTTGTCCATAGAAACGTGTTATTCACTACTGTAAAGTGGCACTGGCAGACAATCAAATTTGTAGTTTTATTATTTTCATTATCAATTAGTTGTTGCAGCTCTGACTATAATACACCCAAAGAGTAATTTAAATCATGTTCAGTTTCACTTCAACAGCACAGCGTGTGCAAACTCTGTAACAGCGTGTTAAGTATAGCTAGAGTAACAGTGCGGATCTCTCAGTAATCAGAAACGTCACTTCTTGAAGACTGTCCGACAGGATTAAACGAAATCGAGTTTAGAGAGTGAATAAGCACTATAACAAGAGAACACAAGGTATAATGAGCAACAACAATTAGGAGGAATTTGACAGTTCAATCGTGTGGGAAAGTGCAGAGGATATATATCAGAGGAAGCTGGTGTGGTGGGGTCAAGACGCATACCTCTTTCTGCAGGTTAGTGAGCTGAGCGGCCAGACTCTCGACTCTCAGCGTGGACTCGCGCAGCTCCTCACGGGCCAAACTGGCTGAAGAGCTGTTCATCTCGGACGACAGACGCACGTTCTCCAGCTGAAACACACTCACAACTTTCAGAGAAATGCAAAGAGGAACTAAACAAGCTTTCAGAGGAAGTCAGAAACTTGAGGAAACGCTTCTTCACACATGCAGAAATGTGACACGAGACATCCGCTTGGACGTGCTATTGAAACGCCTGCGATCACCTTGGCCACGTAAGTCTGCTCCATCTCCTCCTTGTAGAGTTTGATCTGGTCGTCGTGTTGCCGTCTCATGTCTGCAAATGCCTGAGCCAGTTTAAAGTCGAACTCCATCTGCCGGCCCGAGTCCACCTCCACCAGACGGGTCTCGTGTCTGTGGCGCGTGTCCTTGATCTCCTGTCAACAATCACACAACTATCAGCTGCAGTTCAAAGCACTTCACTGGGAAATATTCTGTTCAGTTAATAGATGAAGATAACTGATTATGCTCTCTTCCCTGTGACCATTTCAAAAATGAAACCGCATGTCTGCAAACATTTCTCATGTATAAATATGAAGTCTATTAGCAGCTAAAACTTCATTAGCTAAAATGAAGTATAACCGGGCCTTAAAGGGAGTCATTCCATACTCTGTTGCAAGTACCGTATTTTCCACACTATACGGCGCACCGGATTATAAGGCGCACCTTCAATGAATGACCTATTTTAGAACATTTTTCATATATAGGGCGCACCGGATTATAAGGCGCATAAAATACTGCAGTCAAACGTTTGACTGGGTTTGCGTTATGCATCCACTAGATGTGCTAAAGGGAATGTCAACAAAACAGTCAGATAAAGTCAAACTTTAAGCGTTCTGACAACTCAGTTCACTCCCATGGTAACCTTGTTTAAACGTTAAAGGAGAACTCCGGTCAATTTTAACATTGAGCTCATTTTTTGTAAATTTGGAGTGCTGTCAAATATTTTGCAAGTGACGAAAAGCGCTCTGTAGTAGTTTGTCTGTTTAGAGCTACTGTAGAAACATGGGGGCGCAAAGTGGCTATTTTAATGCAAGGGGACCCGCGGTGTGTGTAGATAGAAATGGCTCATTCCAAGGTAATAAAAACATAATGGTTCATTATACAAGGTCTTTATACACCACTGAAAACATTTGTGTATTTTATTGCATTTCTGTCAACAGATCCTCAAATATTACACAATGCACCTTTAAAAAAAATAATAATAATAAAGTTGAATTTCTATACCTCTGTGTGTTGAACTGATGATTAATCCATTACAAAATACTATTATAAACTAGATTTTCACCTAGTCGCCTTTGGCTTGCTTAGTTGGGGACAATAGTATTGTTCTGCCTGCATTGACACCATTATACGAGAACTGAGCTGGACGATGACATCACTGCTTTCTCCAGAGCAGCTATAATATATATATATGAACTAAATTAATAACTTTTTTACAACAAAAATGAACCATCACAGAACTTAAGCTGGACTGTGCGCTATTTTCTTCTAGAAACAAACTTTGTTGCATGGTGCTTTATAATGTTTTTGTGCCTTTTGTGAGGCTTAACAATAACAATACTATACGCACAATATCAGATTTGGATCGGCCCTGTTTGACCTATACCCGACGAAGAATGGCGGTATCTGAGCATCGGATCGGCGCATTGGTATTTGTTGTTGCTTTATTAAAGCCATCTACTGCCAGAGAGTGAACCTGCAATGTCATTCAGCCCATTTGAACGATTTAATGCTTGTTTGCTCAGACCAATTTGCATGTCAAACATAGGTGTCTTTTGGCAAAATGTTTTGTTGCAGCCAATTTCCATGAACAAAATTTAGATGACTTTTTATTAATCTAATAGAATGTGTGGGAATCCTAATATGGCGGTGCGGTGGATTCATTTATGATTTCATGAGCAATCCAGTTCTTCATTATAGATCTGTCACTTAATCGGTGCGAAACAGACGTCCAGCTGAAGAGAGACCGGACCTCAACTTAAGGTTTTCTTTCCTCCACTGATATACGAGTGCCCAGTCTTGGGCTTGTGTCTTTCACTAATGAAGCTCTAAATGTAGGACTTCCGTGTGTTGTATTTATCGAGTTCACAGTGTGCTCCATCTTCCAAATCATAAGGAATACACATGCTCACCGAGGACAGATTAGACGGTTTGTGAATCTTTCAGGTGTTGGTCACCTTCAGACCTATGACACTGACCTCCTCAAACATGTTCTTCCTGAAGTGCAGCTCCTCCATGAGGCTCTGGCAGCGGTTCTCCAGATCCACGCGCAGCAGAGTTTCATCCGACAGCTGCTTCTTAGCCGAGCCCAGCCCGCCCTCCAGCTGAACACACACACACACATTACGCTGGCAATGTCAATGGAAACATGTATGCTGGAAACATCATGAAACAATAGACCTTCTGAAGTGCAAACGATTCACATGTGTTTACATGCGCTGAAGTTGTTCAGAAAAAATGTATAATGCACATGCTCAGTGGCCATGCTCAGATCCAATGAAACGCATACATCTGACCTTTTACGGCACTACCAGTTTCCTGTTTTTACACTTTTTGCCTGTAAGAAATACAAGAACGGTTTCAATGTTATTTTAAGATGGGGTAGAATAAAACGAACGGCAAAACTCTGTACCCCTGTTCAGGATCCACTGGCCTACGTTCATATTCATTTCCTATTGATACGATTATTTCAGTTCTACATCACACTTTTCAGTCCAAACTGAAATTCAGTGGGATCGATTTGGGGTGTTTGCATTGAAGGATTTTCAGTCAGATTGAGCCATCAATCTGATTATAGACAGATTATTTGGGTGCATGTAAACGTAGCTATTAGGGATGCTAACGATTAATCGATGATCCATTAATTGTCAATTTAATCAACAAAATGTACCAATCATCTATTAAACAAGGTCAATGTGTAAATTTGCGTGCATTAGCAGCCTTTTGTTTTGTGGATTGTGTAGGCATATATATACGGTTCATCTCATACAGAATGCATTTGGTTAAGAATTAACGTGGTATAAACATGACCATCTTCAGCGCCTGCAACTCAAACAGCAATGCACGACTAATAAGGACTATGATTGGGAATGTCATATTACATAACATTATAAATAGGGCTGTCAACTTTAGTCGTTTTGTCGACTAATCGGTCGATGCCGTCTTGGTCGACTGACATTCTTATTGGTCGACCAGTTGCATTTTTTTTTTTTTTTTACCAATAGAAAGAAATTTTCCATGATTTACTCCTTGATAATTATTCCTTTATAAGCAGTTAAATATTACTGTATTCTAAATAAATCCCCAACTTTAAATGCTTTAATTTAGGCTATTTTGTAACAGCGCCAGAGTTTAGCGCACACACACAGAACACTCGGTTCACACCTGTGGCTGCGCTGCTGCTTCGTGCTCAGTAAGGGATATAGGTAGTTCAGCTTTCATTCAGTTAGAACGCTACTTGTTTCGGTTTTTATGTTTTTATAAACTATATGTTTTTATCTCGATGCGGCGTGGACGCACTTGGAAAAAAAAGAGCGCATCGCACCCATAGACTGTATAAAGGTCTCACCGCGACCGCGTTGCTTCCATCATGAGCGCGTACACCGCGCAAAAGACGTGAGCAGTCCCTTTAACGGCTTTATCATGCTGACTCAATAGATTGTGTTTTCTTGATATGTTTTTGTTTTTATTTGTACACTTGACGCATTTGAAAATAGCCTAAATAATGTAACAAAACGAAAATAAACCTATATGCGGTCCTACAATAAAGCCTATTATTATTAGGATTGTTTTTTAGGCTCTTTGGGTTTTTGTGTGTGTTTGTTTTAAAACGCCTAAGTTAGATCGGCTGGACAAAAGTTAACCCATAGCTTTGAAAGTAAAGAAGAACATACAGCCTGTATAAACGAGTGCTTTTGTTAGGATTTTTCATTGTGGCAGATAGCAGTTATATTTTTTGTAGCGTGTGGTGTGGTCAGTTGCGCGATTGTGACTGTTACTATAGACCTAGGACAGTGCTCCTCACTTTTTGCAGTTAAAAGCAGTTAATTTTCAAAGAATTGTATTATTATTATAGTTTTATGTATTTTTGATGTTTTTTCGTTGTTGTTTTATAAATGCTCTATGACAATTGTTAAAAAATGTTCAATCAAAACATCGCATTTTTTTTGTAATTTTTTTATTTTTTTAGTCGACTAATCGTTGTGCAGGACAAGACTTTGGGCGACTAAGGATTTCTTTGGTTGACTACAGCCCTAATTATAAAGAGAACACTATTATAATAAATTGTGAATTATTTGGGTATCACAACAGGATTTAGTTTAAGTTCACTTGTGCATTCGCATCATTTTGTGAAGATATCATTTGTAATATGTTTATTTTGTATACATCCGATTAATCTCATATAGGATGCGTTTCGTGTAGTTAAATAACGCGCTAGCAAAGTGCTCCAGTTTACCGGTGCTCACTCTTCAGCACGCGCAGCTCTAACAGCAATGCACGACTAATAATAACTACAGGGTTCTTGCAGGTTTCAGTTTGTTACATTTAAGACCTTTTTAAGACCTTTTAAGACCATTATGTGTAAAGTTTAAGACCAACACGACACATAAATAGAAACATTAGAATGATCCCAGAAATTCTTAAACATATTTTAAGTTTGTAAAATACACACACTGACTGATGTCTATGGAAGCGGCAATAATAATCCTTTCCATTCTAATAAGACGACACGTTTTATTCATATCAGATACACATTGTGTAAATAGCTTTACATTTTAAACTATTCTTCTCCCAGTTCTCCGGCCACTTTCATGTATTTCGTGAGAAGTTGAGGAATTGACGTGTTGTAAACTAACATGGCGCCGCCCATCGCACAAACAGCTGATTTGTGCTGACACCTTCATAACGATCAACTAACGCGATCGTTATGAAGGTGTTTAAACAACAAAACACATCCACTTGCACATATTTGACAATCGGAATATCAGTGTTTCATGTTATAGCTAATACATTTGTGAATATTTTGAATAGAAAAGGGAAAATGACATCAAAGCAGATCATCATTCATTCAGCACTGTTGTGGTTGCGCTGTGTCACGTGACAAGCAATGACGCGTCATCATGGAAACATTAAAGTGACAGGTTCTAAATAACGGTCGCCTAGAAAAACTCACGCTGGGGGATCAGTTCGAATATTTTAAATTTACGTGTGAAAGGGTTAAATACAAAAACAACAAACAAAAATAAACACAAATTAACAATGGTAAATTATTTAATGTATTTATTCTTTTTAGTAAACTGTTGTTTTTTTGTTAGAAACTCACGCTTACGGATGACGTGGTCGTTGAGCGCCCTCAGGCGACCGTTATGATTACATTCAAATGACTACACAATTTACAGATGATTAACGAATATTTTTAAATCATCCACCAAATTATCATCTCTTTCTTGCAGTTTAATGAGTAAACAACGAACATCAAGACATACGGTCCGCTAATGGTGTTAATTAGATCTCTCTTGATGAAGTCCGCTATACCAAATCTTGCTATATAAGCGATCTTGTTCGGTCCGCACGTAAACGTTTTCGCAATGCTCGAGCGCCTTCACACCCAATGTCCCTAGCTGTATTATCTTCTTGCATATTTTTCAGCGAGCTTCATATCTATTGCTAGGGACAGCTTGTAACCAGCTGCAAAACTCACCCTTATCGAGCCAAGTCATGTTAAACACACACTTCCCCTGTCCCCATGATATTTGAAAACTACGCGCTCGACGACAGCCCCGACTTCCCCGACCTCGACGTTGCAACTTGTCTTGCACGAATTCGGCGGGCAGGTAGCTAGTGAACCAACTTCCTTCACTTTATTGGCGGCGCGGGTTACATACCGCCACCTACTTTACAGGAGTTATACCTGCAGTGATCACGCAATGGGATTATCACATGGGATTATCATCATCACGTAGCCTACTAGAAAACAAAACAACCAACATTTTATTTTCGGCGGACAACGCTTGACCACAATTAACAAAATTAACGAAGGTAAGAATTTTAAGACTTGGGTAAATTAAATTTAAGACCTAAACTTGTGTTTTTTAGACTTTTTAAGGCCTTAAATTTCACTTTCTGAATTTAAGTCTTTTTTAGACTTTTTAAGACTCCGCGGGAACCCTGTAACTATGACTGGGACTGTCCCATTACATAACATTCATGAGAACAATATTGTAATAAATTGTTGTGAATTCATTGGGTGTAGTTGGCGTGTTTCAGTGTGCTGGTCCAGGGAGAGCGCCTCCAGAACAGGAGTTACATTAACTAGCACTCACCTGAAGCGGCACGTTGGTGACGCGTTGTATTAGTCGTTATATTTCATTATTAAATAAGTAATTTAATTAAATGATCAATTACATCGATTCATTTTACAATCCTAATGAGGAACATGTCGTTTTGAGCATTTGCACACCCTGTCATGCTGTTGGCTATATGCCGCTGCAGAATTAAGGCTAACAATTAATTGATCATTAATTTACACAAGGATTGATCATTGGGATGTGTGTATACTGCCACCCCTAGCAGCTATAGAGCCCTTGTCCTCCATGCTGCATGCATGCGTGCGTGTGTGCGCCTCATGTACCTCCTGTACGTGGATCTGCAGGTCTGTGAAGGCGTTCTCCAGGGTCTTCCTCTCGGACGCCGCAGTGTTCAGCGCCGCGTCTCGAGAGTTCAGCAGGGCTTCAACCTCCTTCAGCCGGGCCTGAGCGCCAGAGAGGTCCGCGTCCTTCTTAGCACATCTGTGACAAACACACACACCATCAGAGGCTGGGACCGTTTCGTGTGCCAGGCGACTGCTCTGCTGAGAACTACTGTGTGTACTTATCAAGTGCATGGAAGCCGGAGGGTGGAGAAATCAACTTCCTGCGGTTTTGAAATCATGGATGATCAATCATCAATGATTGAATCAAAATCATTGGGATTTTATTATGATAACACACAGCCGAAGCTCCTACACAACAGCGTTGTGCAAAATTAATCAATCAATACATCAGGATTCTTATTACATTAAAGTGATTGTATTTTTAATTTCTGTTATATAAAGAAGTCTGGCTCTGTGCTTGGGTCTGCTCTGGAGCCCCTGGAGTTGGTTGTGGAGAGAAGAATGTTAAACAAACTATTCGACATCATGGACAACACTTCACATACGCTGCACAACCTGCTGGTTGGGCAGAGGAGTGGATTCAGCTGGAGACTCCGACAACTCCGCTGTAGCAAGAATCGTTACAGGAAGTCATTCCTACCTACTAGGGCTGGGCGATATGTAAAAAATATTTTATCGATAATCGCCTTAAAAAATATCGCGATATCCGATTATATCGTCTACCCAAGCCCCGCCCCCTATGCGCCCCGCTGGAGACAACACATGCGGAATACACGTTAACACAAGTCATGTTGAGTTTGGCTGCACTTTATCTAATGATAGCCTGCGATTTAGTTGGTTTAATTTAATGATTGAAAAGTTAAAGGTTTTACTTTGGTTAGTTTGAGCATAAACGAGCATAAAACATTAGCTTTGCTTGTTATGTTAGTGTTGCTAATAATTTCCTCACTGTTCTTATTGCATCTGTGTTTGAAATGAATTTCGTTTTGCGAGGAGAAATGTTAAATAGGCCTACAACTGAACAATTTGGTGATTGTAAAAATGGTGAATGCATGTTGATGTTAGCTAGGTGTCTTGTCTTGTCTATTGGTTTTTCACAAGGTCCTATTTTCTCCTTTTTTTTGGCGGTATCGCCTGATTTAATAATAAGTTTAATTTCCTATGTGCGCCGTTTTTAAACTTGTATTTTCAAACTATAATATATTTGTTATTTGTCTAAAATTAGGAATTAAAAACGAATTGTCGTTCTGAATGAGCAAAAACGTTTTGTTTTTTCCTCCTTTTTGGTTTTAGTTCCAAGTTCACCTTAAGCCGTTTAAGAAATAAAAATGACTGCTTTATTTATTTAGAAACAGAAGTAATTAAACAAAACAAACAAAAAAAATCCCCAAATATAATTTATTCATTTATTTAATCTAAAGCAAAGTAGGCCTATATATATCCCAATATAGCCTACGGAGATGCCAACATCGCTCCGAACGCGTGCATGAGATAGCCTATTCAAACGCAATTTCTTCATCCGTTTGCAATAACAACATTTTTATTTTAATTACAATGTTTGTGCTTTTTGATTAGGCCTATTTATTATGTGCAACATTTAAATTAATATTCAGAAACGGGTGAAGTTAGCCAACTTCTACCATTTGTTTTTCTGATGAACTTTTATCAGCCTGCAAACCAAAATAAAATAGGCCTAGGCTATTTGATTATATGAAGAAAAATGTTTAACAAAATTACGAAAGTAAGAACAAATGATGTTTGACAGGGAACGCATCTCAAGGTCGCACAGACTCATGTTGCAGTTGGAGCAGTCAGTGCCGAACAACAGGCAAATAAAATATTAAGCTAATTAAAAGTTACAAAAGTTCAATTAGTGATTCTTTTTCTTTTGTTCTTTGATCAACATTAATGGTGGCAGCGAGTATAGGCGGTCAGTGGACTGATTCCATAGACATAGGCCTACTGTTTTACTTTCTCAACCGTTAAGACAAAACCGGATGTTTACGGGGATATTTGAACTTGAAAAGAGGTGTGTAGCCTACCTACTGAAGTCTTTCCATGGTTGAAACAATAATTCTTCTGATGTTTATTCATGTTTATTTGATGCTATAAATTAACTAGAAGTATAATTGTGAGATATAATTCTGTGTATTTGTCCGTGCACTATGTGAGAGGCGGCTCTTTGCGTGAGTGCGCAGCTCAGAAAACAGCGCGCATGCAGACGTGTTCTCTTTCGCCTTGCGCTTTAAGAATGCTATCAAGAATCGATTTTCTATTCTTAATCCTACTAACTAGCCTATAAAAAAATATTTCATTCATGTTATTGCATGATGATGTGAATAAATATGTTTAACTATAGGGCTATGTGAAATATAGGCCTAAGCCGATGTCATTTTTTTGATATTGACGATTATCGTCTGGAAACAGACTGTTAAATCGACATCGCGATACTTGCGAGACATCGTCGATATACGATAATATCGTCATATCGCCCAGCCCTAGTACCATAACAATATACAACAATTCTACTCTGGGCAGGGAGAGGGGACTGAATGACACGTGAATGATAAAGCTAAAATTGCACATCCTGGCGCACTATCGCACTTGTGCATATATCTTATATTATATGTTAGTTATGTAAATATGTCTTGTTTTTGTATTCTGTGTTAATTATGCTGCTGCAACACTGCAATTTCCCTTCGGGGATGAATAAAGTTTTTCTATCCATCTAATTTGCTTGTCAAAAAAAGTGGAAAAGTGGAACAACCCAAATCATGAGACTTCAGCAGATCCAGTCTGAACGCATCACGAGACCGCCGGCAACACTCGGCTCATACACACATCAGGCATGTGATCGGGTAAAGACCAAAAAAAAAAACTACCCACAAAGCCATATGGCAGGCAGAGGTTATTATTAGAACAATTTTATCCAAATTTAAAAAGGTATAAATATAATCTCCTTATTACTGCAATACTAATGTACTGTTTTATAAGTTATAAGTGACCTAAACTTGCAGCTCTTGCGGCCCACGGGCTGCACTGCCGGGCACAGCTCCTTCTGTAGTGCTGGGTTACTTTGGGGAGTACAGCACACAGCGGTTAACTCTTAAAACTAACTCTAAACTCTTTAAACCAAGACCAAAAGCAGCAAACAAACCGCTTGCAGTCCTCTCCATTGCTTTGGTCTTATTCATCTAGCTTGTCTTCAGTCTTCTTGGTGAAATGGAGTTACGTGATGTTTTTCCAGGGCAAGTTTTTTAAATTATTAAAGGCAGGTTTTAGTCCAGAAGCCCTGCAGAACCACCCTAACTTTCTATATGTCCTAACAAGTAGTCAAGGAAATAATGGCGAATCTTAAACCCTCCTTGTGTCCTAACGATGTAATCCATCCCCGATACTGGAAACAAATATTACTCTGTGGGTCCGACTGCCACTGTTTACCCGTGCTAAAGAAACCCTCACTCAAGGCAACTGTCCTAGCAAACTTTAGCCCAATGTCAACTTTACCTTTTATTTCTACGGTGTTGGAAACAACTTAAACACAGATTGAAATTGAAAAATTGAAAAAGATTTAAGACCCGACAGTACTGAAACTGCCCCATTAGGAGTTCTCAATGATATTTTAATTGCCACAGATTCAGGTAACTCTCGCTTCAGTCATGTTAAGGCCAATTTATACTTCTGCGTCGGGTGCGCGCAGTACGTACGGCGTAGCATACGCACAGACGCGTACCATACGCCGTACCCTTCGCCGTAACCTGACGCGCACCTCCTCAAAAATGTAACTACACGTCGCGACGACGCGGACCGCAAGATCTGTGATTGGTGGGCTTGGTAGCATCGCGTTTCCTCCTATGCATTTCCGGCGTGTTCTTCTGCACCGCCCGCCATTTTTAAATTCTAAGTACAGCGAAACTGTTAAAAAAACAAAAAATTTACCTTTTCCACCTCGATAAGCTCCAACTCCAACATGATCTGCTCTCTTTCAGTCGGCATTGCTTGTAGTAACCTAAACTCAAAACAGCCGCGAGGAATCTTCTTCTTCTTGCCGCGAGGAATCTAAACACAGTGGAACATTAAAACCCTCCGCCGCCAACTAGCGTTTCGGCGCTGTACTGCAGAGCAACGCAGACCTAAACGCAGAAGTATAAATGCTCATGACGGCGTTGCCTACGTGCGTAGCCCACGCCGTACACTACGGCGTACACTCGACGCAGAAGTATAAATTGGCCTTTAGACCTATCCTCTTCCTGCGATAGAGTTGATCACAAGATTCTGATCTCCAGATTAATATCTTGTGTGGGTTTGGGAGGAACGGTTTTAAAGCGGTTTAAGTCATTAACCAAGAGAATATTCTCAGTTAAAATAGGAGCCGTGGTTTCTCTGCTGAAACCCTGGCCTGTGGACGCCACAGGGTCCTTTCGCCTGCTCTCTCCCGCTTCATATGCTTCCCCTGTGTTCTGCTCTTAGGAAACACAGGGTTTGTTTCATTGCTACGCTGACGAGACGCAACTCTACCTGCCCGTGGCTCGCACAGAGTGCTCTAACTCCATATTCGCCTGTTTGGATGAGGTTAAATGTTGGCTTTCTATAAATGTCCTTTTTTAGCTGCAGATTAACAGAGGTAATTGTTTTTGGCCCCTCTTTTTCTCCAGGAAGTAACCAGATCGACCTTGGATATCTACAACCTTTTGTTTCTTCTGTTGTGTGGAGTTTGACAATTCCCTTAAGTTTAATAAACACATTAGCTCTGCGATTGGTTCTAGTCTCTTTCATCTCCGCTTGCTTGCTAAATTAAGCCGTTTCTATCCGAGAAGTCTCTGGAAGCTGCAATCCATGCTTTTATTACGACTAGGCTGTTTTATTGCAACTCCATCTACTATGGTATATCGAAGTCAAATTTCTCGTTTACAAGTGGTTCAAATTGCAGCTGCACAATTTCTGAAAGGATGTAAAACGTACGAATGTCACTCCCCTTCTGAAAGATTCACACTGGTTGCCAGTTAATTATAGAGCGGAGTTTAAAATCCTATTACTGGTCTATAAATCTCCACAGTCAAACGGCGAGCTCTCGGTCTACTTCACTACACCACTATAATCCCTCAAGAAGCCTACGGTCTGAAGATCAACACTTACTCCAAATCCCCAGAACTGGCTGAAGGGTCGGGGTGAAGGAGCCTTCTCTGAGGCTCGTCCCACTTCAGGGAAAAGCCTTCTAAACCACATTAGGACTGCTTCTACCTTTCTGCATAAGCTAACGAAAAAATAAGTTGCCTTTTTTGTTCTTCTGTTTCCTTTTATCTGTCGTCTTATGGTCTTTTATTTTGTATTGTACAGCACCTTGTGGCTGTCATTGAATGTGCTTAAGAAATAAACAACTGATCTAACAGTGAGAGCGCAGCTTGATTTGGCCTTTGTGGCTGGAGATCAGAGGCTGTTGGTGCGGTCAGCTCATTGGTAGCGCTGGCTCTCACTGGCCCCACAGCTAGGGGTCAAGATGCAGGTTACAATACATGTTGAGCAAATGTCCCTCTAATGAAGAGATTTAACATGGCTCATCCAGTGTGGGTTAGGGCTGTCAAAATTGCTCAAAAATGACGTTCGAATATTCCCTCTAAAAAAAAAACACATATATTCGAACTATTCGAATATCTGGTTGCGCATTTTGTCAATGACGCGCATTACGTTAATAACAGGACAAATTAATACAAAGAGACACAACTACTTGTATAGGTAGTTTATTTAAGTTTAAACATATTTGACAACGTATTAACTTACACAAAACCAAGTAAATCAACTAATGGCCAAGACCGCAGACCTTACTCTCGCAGGCACTCTTTCTCTGTCTCTCTCTTGCCCTCACGCTCTCTGCGCATAACGGTTTAAATGAACAACAATAAACAAATGTTGAGTGCTGATCAAGAGTTTTGTGCAAGCAATTTAAGGTTGCGACTCTTGTCCTAAATATAGCAGGCTTCATTCGGTGATTGAAACAAATATTATTAACATTAATTTAAGTTTTACAGTCTATAGAACCGACATTGAACGCTCCGTGCGAGCTGTGTTGTGGTAAACTGCTGCTAGCCTGCTACTATGGCTATTTCGAGGGCGTCTGGCCACGCCCCCATTGGCGGGCTCTGACGTGTCTGATGTAATGCTAGCTCATTGGCGCACACGTTGGAGGCGCCCGTGCCATTGGATGTGCAGTTGACGCAGCACAGCCAATGCGTGAGCCAGACACTCACTGTGCTATCTGTCTGTGCAGCTGGAAAATGCGTTTTACATTTTAAGCTTCAGAATTTTGCCACTCGCAAAGCAGACAGCCGCGCCTCTGCTACCGCGGGCGTGTTTTTCCACATGATTCGAATATTAATTTTCACCTTCGAATTTCTGTTTTTTAAAACTATTCGAATATATATATTCGAATTTAGAATATTCGTTGACAGCCCTAGTGTGGGTGTCCTGAAGCCTGATGAACAGTGTGTGCTGACAGGTCTTCAACCTCTCCTCTCTGTGCTAGTGTTGACTAGGCGCGGTCTGTTCTCCGGAGGAACGTCTCACACACAGCCGAGAGCGTCTGGAGGACACCAGCTCGCACTTCGGGAGTTCCTGTTACTCCTCACTCTCAACATGTGCTACACGCACCTGATGTGCTTCAGTCCAGAGAAGAGGTTAGACACAAAGAGCCGCTTCACTGGGAGACTGGTAGAGCAGCTGGGGAACGTCCACCTCCTCCAGCTGCTACACGCCACCGAGACGCTTCAGTCGCGGCACTGAGGGAAACACTGTTAACACACAACTGCTGCTCCTGTCAATCAGACCACATGCCCATCACAGCACTGATGGACACACAAGAAACTCAACCAAACACTGGTGCAGCCCAGACAGCTGTACACTACTGCACTACACACACATTTTTTTTTTTTAAAAAGCCTTGGTGAACATAGCGGGTTTTTATTTCTCATCTCCATAAATATATCTAGTAGCCTAGTAAAGCTAATGCAAGGGCTAGAAATCAATTAATCCTTTGCTGTTACATCCTCGTCATCATCATCATAGAGAGCACAGTTCATGGTTGCATAGCAACGACAGACGCCACGGGAGCGCAAGCGCTTGTGGAAAGGAGAAAGCGGCGCGGCCGTGCTTTTCCATTCACGTGCTTTTACAACCCCCCCAATCCCCCCGCCCGACGGCAAACCCCACCTTAACTAACAAGGGTTTCCTGCAGAAAATTGACACTCCTACACAAGAGGAGCACATGACGCCTGTAACTGACTCACCACGACCATCACAACACTGCTGCTAGTGAGAGACCACTTATTCAACACACAGACACAAAATACAAGAAACTAGAATTAAAGAGTGAAAGAGTGAGCCGATAGGCCTCTGTGACCCTGATGAAAATCCTACAATGCATGCAGGAAAATATACACTAATTATAAAAATACCGACACAAATTCGATAAGCATTTAAAACCCGGTTCCTTTCCTGTCTGGTCCAAGCTAACATCCAGCGACCGCCGTCACACTGGCGCTCTGGGCTAGAGCCACTGTTGGCCGATGCGTCAGCCCGAGATCGCCAGCACACACACACACACGGCGGGTGCATAGCTTACTGATTTACTCTTAATTACTTCGTTTTATCACAAGAAATGAGAATCATTGTCTATCATTTTACAAACAAAGATGGAGTTGGTGATAAAGAACAGAAAAGGCACGTCATATTGTCAAAAAAAAAGAAAGGCACGTTCCAGAGACGACGAGAGCTGAATCTTGCGGTCCATACATTAATGATAGTGAAAAAACATAGCATCAAATCTTCTTGTTTAATAAGTTAAGTCAGTGTTTTCAACTGCTTTTGATTTTCCCAGATGACTGGTTATTGTGCAGTGTTCGAACCTATTAAAGATGTATTATATATAATATATTTAAAAATGTGTTATAGCGTTGTCATCAGCGACGCACAATATCATCAGCACGAAACCGGAATCGGCCAACAAACGCTTAATGTAATAATCGGAATGATACGAAAAAACGATGCCTATATGCCTAGCTGATAAGATAAATTGATTTTATAACATCAACAAAGATTAATAAATACTGTAACAAATGTATTGCTCATTGCTAGTTCATGTCAGTTAATGCATTAACTACTGTTTAATAAATGAACCTTATTGTAAAGTGTTACCTTTTGATGTTTAGGTAAAAATTAATGAAATTAAATAGTCTAATGTTAATAAAATTATACACAAAAAAAAAAAAAAAAAAGTTTTAAAAAACGAGTAATTTTTGGTCAAGTACATCCAGAATTAATGGTTTTTGCCAAGAAATTCTCCTTTTGGTGCATCTCAAAGTACAGGTCAATGCGATCTGACCCCAGAGACACCCTGACCAGACACAACCTCCCGTGCCCAGTGTTGTTTTTAACAAACAAAGTTTCTACAATTGTTTGTGTATTTGTAAGCAAATATTCCCATGCCCATAAAACACAAATATATAGTTACAGAGAAATGAGATTGAAGTGTGAATGAAGTGTCTCACGTGTGCTGCAGCTGCTCGTGCGCGCTCCCGATCTGGCCCAGCTCGATCTGCAGCCTCGCGCGCTCCCGCGCCGTGTGGTCCAGCGCCGTGCGCGCGTCCGCCAGCTCTGTCTCGTAGAGCGTCTTGACCCCGCAGATCTCGCGTGCACGCTCCTCCTCGCGCGCGCGGATCTGCAGCTGCAGCGCGCTGTTCTCGGTCTCCAGGCCGCGCACCGTGTCGATGTACACCGCCAGCCGGTCGTTGAGCTGCTGCAGGTCCTCCTTCTCCCGCAGCCTGGAGATCCGCGCGGGGCTCAGAGGAGTCGCGCTGCCGCTGCGGGGCAACGGCTGCGGCCCGGCCGGGGTACACGCCGCGCTCGCCATTCTTCAGCTGCAATTACCACACAACAAGAGTCCGCGTGAAAGATCAATGTCTGGTCACTCCTCGGCTAAGCGAGCAGAAGAACATGTTCAACTTGAGTTACAAACACCCGATCAACGCTAATGAATATGAGCATGACAAAAACGGTTTTACTGTTAAGTTACCTTCTGAATGAAAGTATAGAAAGAACGCTCCGAGCGAACAGGGTGTAACTCTACAAGAGCTGCTTTAAACACGGCAGTGTCCTAGATCGACATCACTGTAAAATATGTAATAATAAAAATATATATATGTGTGTGTGTGAGCGTCTTACCGTGAGCCCGGTCGCGTGAAAGAATGAACTGGCCTAATATGGCCGCTCATCAGAACCACGCTGACACGTGACCACGGACACCCAATCAGCAACCGCTACGTCATCAAGGGTTCAACGGTGCAGTTGAGACCAAATTTAAACTGCACAAAAACGCGCTGAAAGTAACATCACTTGCACGTGCTCGTCCTTCCAGTTATAACGACTGTAAACAACGCAACAATCAATAAACATTTCTAGTCTGACTTTTCTTTTGTGATCATACTTGAACAGCAAATCAAATATTCATGATCAGACGATACACACAATTATGACTGACACTTCGCTGTTTGTTTCAGATTTAAATGATTATTTTCTACTTTAGTATTAGTTTTTCGCAATTGCTAATACACTGAACCCCATTCTCTGAACCAAATTCTCACTATAGCCTAAACCAATTTGTCGAATAAATCACTCTTTCTGCAAAACCAAAACAAGTTAAGACAGTTAGACTATCTGCAAATCTCATGCACTCTTTTTGCAAAACTCAAAACACAAGAGGCAAAAGTTAAACACAAATAAAGCACAGTTGACATCATTTACACACAACTATTCAAAATTGTACGCTCTTGTTTCTAATGTTGTGATTAAACCAACTATAAAATATGAGCCAGTTCAGGTGCACTGAATGATGATACGAACAACAGTCTGAGAGGGAGAAGAGGAGGAGTGCCTATGCCAGGTGGTGGATGATGGGGACGAGGAAGAGCAGGTGTAGAGAGTGTAATCAAGGCTGGATCTGTCAGACTAGGGGGATTTCTCTTCGCCAGGCGAGAGTGGATGAAGTCCTCAGGCCAGAGCCAGCAGGAGGACGGGATGCTGAAGCAGAATCAATCTCTCATTGACCTAGATTTTACCGTTGCACAACTTACAGTATTTGAGTGTATACTGTAACATGCTTTTCATTAAGAGTTTGGGCTTTTGCATTTGGACTGCAGTATTTTTACAGTAGGCTATGCAAGAGCTGTATATACAGACATTCAGTAGCCTACAATTCAATATTCAGTACAATACTATTCTTGCAGGACATACAGTACACAATATATTGATTGACAAAAACCGGCCTTACTCATGTCTTACTCAATTGAAATTACTATAGTTTATGTAATTGAAAAAAAATTACTTTATACATGTTCTCCATTTTTTTATGTAGTGTCTAATAAATGATCTGTAATGCTTATATTATTGACTCGTGTGTCTGAAAGCATTCTTTGATTTTGAGTACAGGTTAAACGGTTTTGAAGCGATTGTTTGAATTTGCCAGAAAGAGTCAAGGGTTTTGTGAGTTTAGTTTGAAAATTTGGATTTGCTTTTTTATGTTGTGAGAAAATGGGTGAAGGTTTCAAGAAATGTGCTAAGAAGCAATGCTAAGAAATGCTAAGAAGAAATTGTGAAAAACTGTAATCAAGGCTTATGACAACAACTGAGACAGATCACTGTGCGTGTCGGTTTCTGGGAAAATAATTCCCCCCCCCCCCCCCCCCCCCCCCCCCCCGAGCTTCTCAGATTCATTATCAGTTTGTAAAGCTTTTGAAATGGTAAATACTCAATGTACACTATTGCCAAAAGTTTTGGGACGTCTGCCTTTACATGCACATGAACTTTAATGACATCCCATCAGGGTTTAATATGGAGTTGTTCCACCATTTGCAGCTTCAACTCTCCTGGGAAGGCTTTCCACAAGCTTTAGGAGTGTGTTTATGGGAATTTTACCATTCTTCTAGAAGCGCATTTGAGAGGTCAGGCACTGATGTTGGACGAGAAGGCCTTGCTTACAGTCTCCGCTCTAATTCATCCCAAAGCTGTTCTATCTAAGCTGGGGGGGTGGATTGGGGGGTTAGGCTCATGCTGTAAGAGGTAGGCTCATGCTGTTGGGGGGTTAGGTACTCTACGTGTTAAGTGTATTATTTACATTGCAATACCCATAAATGAAAACAAAACTTAATTTATTAATATTTTTTTATTTGTAATTTTATTACAACAAAACATCAGTTTTTAACACTGGTACGACTACATAACACTACAAACTCACTTAAAACATTTTATTCCCAGTTCATTCCTTGAGCATCAATAACTGTGTCTATCTTGTAAACATAAGTACAGTATGTTGTGTAAACATGAATATGTGCTCACATTTTTTTTTGAAGTGTTGTAATTGTATGTGGCAGATTTAGCTGCTCTCAATGCCCTCTTGAAGGAGTGTATTTTGAAACCAAACCGGTGTGGTTTATTTTGCAGGATAGGAGAGAGCAAATAGTGCTGTTCCGTCATGCTCATGCGATTTTCTGCGCTACCAACATTGCCATCTTCAATTCGGCTTGCATCACGTTTTCTGCCTCTGTCTGTCCTTTCGTGATGAAGGATGAGATCGCCTGTGTGCCCTTACTTGCCTCTTCTGCGCGATGGTGCCGCTGTGTTTTAATGTGCTGGCTAATGTCATTTTTCCCGCCGTGGCCTACATTAAAATCAATGCGACACACCTTACAAAAAGCGTGGAGGTTGTCGATATGACTTGGTAAGATGCATGTAAATTGTTGCATCCAACATTGTTGAAATTTACAATTGTACTTCAATTTCTTTGCGGGAAAATTGAACCGCCTTCAATGCCATCATGTCTATCGGCTCGCTTTCGGGTTAAACTTTCCGCGACTGCGCAACTGGGTTATAGGTTGCCAGGTTGAGGTGACAAACTGGTTGAAATCGTAAATGGTGTGTGGATTGTGTGAATATAATGCATTTAATACAATCTGGCAACATTAGACAAAAAATATTGGTCCGGTTATTCATAAAGGAGTTTGGGTCATGCAAATCACGGGAGTTTCCCGGGAGAAATAACAAACCGGGAGGGGTCCGGGAGATAGGGCTAAAAAACAGGAGAAACCCGGGAGAAACGGGAGTGTTGACAGGTATGCCCTCCTCCACTAAACAACCCCACACCATAATCCCCCTCCACCAAACAACCCCACACCATAACCCCCCCTCCACCAAACAACCCCACACCATAATCCCCCCTCCACCAAACAACCCCACACCATAATCCCCCCTCCACTAAACAACCCCACACCATAATCCCCCTCCACCAAACAACCCCACACCATAACCCCCCCTCCACCAAACAACCCCACACCATAATCCCCCTCCACCAAACAACCCCACACCATAATCCCCCCTCCACCAAACAACCCCACACCATAATCCCCCCTCCACCAAACAACCCCACACCATAATCCCCCCTCCACCAAACAACCCCACACCATAATCCCCCCTCCACCAAACAACCCCACACCATAATCCCCCCTCCACCAAACAACCCCACACCATAATCCCCCCTCCACCAAACAACCCCACACCATAATCCCCCTCCACCAAACAACCCCACACCATAATCCCCCCTCCACTAAACAACCCCACACCATAATCCCCCTCCACCAAACAACCCCACACCATAATCCCCCTCCACCAAACAACCCCACACCATAATCCCCCCTCCACTAAACAACCCCACACCATAATCCCCCTCCACCAAACAACCCCACACCATAATCCCCCCTCCACCAAACAACCCCACACCATAATCCCCCCTCCACTAAACAACCCCACACCATAATCCCCCTCCACCAAACAACCCCACACCATAATCCCCCCTCCACTAAACAACCCCACACCATAATCCCCCTCCACCAAACAACCCCACACCATAACCCCCCCTCCACCAAACAACCCCACACCATAATCCCCCTCCACCAAACAACCCCACACCATAATCCCCCCTCCACCAAACAACCCCACACCATAATCCCCCCTCCACCAAACAACCCCACACCATAATCCCCCCTCCACCAAACAACCCCACACCATAATCCCCCCTCCACTAAACAACCCCACACCATAATCCCCCTCCACCAAACAACCCCACACCATAACCCCCCCTCCACCAAACAACCCCACACCATAATCCCCCTCCACCAAACAACCCCACACCATAATCCCCCCTCCACCAAACAACCCCACACCATAATCCCCCCTCCACCAAACAACCCCACACCATAATCCCCCCTCCACCAAACAACCCCACACCATAATCCCCCCTCCACCAAACAACCCCACACCATAATCCCCCCTCCACCAAACAACCCCACACCATAATCCCCCTCCACCAAACAACCCCACACCATAATCCCCCTCCACCAAACAACCCCACACCATAATCCCCCCTCCACTAAACAACCCCACACCATAATCCCCCTCCACCAAACAACCCCACACCATAATCCCCCTCCACCAAACAACCCCACACCATAATCCCCCCTCCACTAAACAACCCCACACCATAATCCCCCTCCACCAAACAACCCCACACCATAATCCCCCCTCCACTAAACAACCCCACACCATAATCCCCCTCCACCAAACAACCCCACACCATAATCCCCCCTCCACCAAACAACCCCACACCATAATCCCCCCTCCACCAACCTTTAGACTTGGCACAGTGCATCAGGCAAGTACCGTTCTTCTGGCAACCGCCAAACCCAGACTCGTCCATCGTATTGCCAGACAGAGAAGTGTGATCAATTCACTTCAATTCAATTCAAATTTATTTGTATAGCGCTTTTCACAATACATATTGTTTCAAAGCAGCTTTACAGAAAGTGCATTTCAGAAATGTACATAGAAAAATACAGTTAGTTAATCATCATGTATTAATTTAGGGCATAACATATCGCCGGCGTTGAGTCGTCTCTTCACAGGCGTCGAGTCGTCTCATCGCAGGTGTTGGGGCATCTGAAGTCTCCGTGAGAGGCTGGATACAAACTGGAGCTGACGAACCCTATTCACCTCAGGACTAGCGTCCCGAGATAACAGCAGAAAAGTAGAAATAATTAGCATAGCTACTGTTCATAATATTAATGCATTCAATCTGATTTAACAGTGGTGTAAAAGGTAAGCATTATGTGAATGCTTGGCTGAAGAGATGCGTCTTTAATCTAGTTTTGAACTGGGAGAGCGAGTCTGAGCAACGAACAGTATCAGGAAGGCTATTCCAGAGTTT